TCAGGCCGTCCGCTCTCCGACGCTCGAGTCGCCCCGACCCGTTCCCAGGGACCAGCACTCGGAGGTTGATAGAGCTCCTACCCTGACACGTCGATTAGCGAATTGGCCGTTGTCGGCTCGCGAGAGGCCGTCGCGGCCGTCATTTTTGCGGGGCCAGGTCCGTCGTTTTCGGTCCTAGGCCGCTTCCACTAAAGGGAGGTTTACTTTAGGGAGGCTTGTCCACCGCCGAAATACTTCCTTCCGAGCTTCCCTCTGACGGTCGCGGTGTCCGAAGGCGCCCCTCCGTGGCCACAGGGACCGCTGCGCCGCAGGCCCCCGGTATTTATTCTCGGGCCTCGGGAGGCCGCTGGGCCGACGGCCTCCTGGCACCATCCAGAGCAACCAGTGCCTCCCCGCAGCATCCGCCAGGTATCTCTCTCTAGCCTGAAGCCATACTCAAGAATAGTCCAAACATTTTTTTTGTTGGGGGGGTATTTCTGATTTCTTGTTGAATACATTTATCTTTCGTCCAAAAAATCCGCCTGCAAGAGGACATGCCCGACCTAACTCTAGACTGCCACGCCGCGCCGCCGGCGGCGGGCGGCGGGCGGCGGATTTCCCCGACCCGGGCCCTCGTGGTGGCCGCATCCCCGTGCTGCGAGAGCGCGTCGCGGCGCTGCGGGCTGGGCTCCCTGCGGAGCGGGGGAGGGGAAGTGCACCCCCAGACATCCAGCATCTTGAGCAAGCCAGGGCGGAGGCCTCCCGTCGTGTCTGGCACCTGGGGGCCGAGAGATCCGAGGCTCCCAAATGCTCAGGGCGGCCAGGTTTGGGCTGTTTTCTGGCTCTGAGGGCCCGCAACGGGCCCGGGGACCGTCAAACACAGCTCAGGACGAGTGACCGCCCCGAGGGATGTGGTCCAGATCTCGGGGGGTCCGCGCATCGAGCAAAGTCGGAGTGCCCGATGTCTGGGGGCTCGCCGGGCCTCAGGACTGGAAAGCCACACCCTGGCGGCAGAAGAATCAGAACAGTCCATGATCTGCGGGCCCCAAGGATGTACACCCTTCACCACGTCGATTCCTCCTTCCTCCTCTGCCCTCCTCTTCCTTTCCTCTTTCTGGGGGAGGGAGGGGGGGAGGGAGGTGGTGTACATGTTTGGGTCCCGTAACAATCAAAGCGTGCAGGGCATTCTACACCACGGTGTGCATGCGGGAAGCCACACGGGAGAGCCTCTACAGGAGAGCATGCGGGAGACCCTGCGGGAGAACCTGCGGGGGACCACGCGGGAGACCACAGCGCAGATCATGCGGGAGATCCTGCGGGAGACCGCACGGGAGACCATACGGAAGAGAAAGGGCCGCGAGTTGCCGATTCTGGCTCCAGAGGGCCCTTGCAGACAATCTGCTTGGGGACAAAGGGGGGAAATGATCGGGATTTGCGGGAGGCCCGTTGTGAACAAGCCAAGATATCGGATGTCTGGGGCCAGAGACCTCGTCGCGTCCGCCGCACCCGCGCGGATAGAAAAAGGGGAGCGCCTGCACGTGTGCCGCCCGTCCGACGAAGGCATCTATACACCACCACCGTGCCAGGCCAGGGCCATCCTAGGTCCTAGGAGGGTGTAGAGACCCTCCTGGCCTCGGCCAGGAGGGCGTATATACCATGTCAGGGCCAGGCTGGCCCTGGCATGGCGCGGTGGTGGTGTATAGATGCCTTCTGCGTAGCCCAGGCCCCGTACATGATCGTCCGCCCCCGAGGGAATCCATGATGCCTGGCGGAGATTTCAGGAGGGAAGTGCAAGGAAGATTTCGCAAGAGCGCGTGTGGTTGCCCTGGTCATTCAAAATCGGGGTCTGATCACCGACTCTCCCTATCGAGATCTGTGTTTGCCCGCTCCCCCCCTCCCTTCCGAAGGGCGGACAGCTCCCACACCGTTCGAGCAGTTTTTCTTCTTTGTGGTGTAGCGTGGTGATCGAACAACGTCAAAATCCAGGCTCCGGCTTGATAGAGGTGGACGGGGGAATTTCAACCACTCCCCGGGGTCCCGAACGGTGGACCAGGGAAGCGGGGAGGCTCCCCGACCCCCCTCCTGTAGGGCAGCCAGCGGCGCGCCCTCAATGATTTCCCCTCTGGATTCCCCCCACCGTCCTCGCCGCCGTGGATGGTCGCTTGGAATTTCCCACCTCGCCAAGGGCACCAGGGTGCGACGCACGCATGCAATGAACAGCCTCTCTGATGGACGTGCATCGGGGAGGCTCGTACGACGCATGCACTTCTGAGCCGTGTCGGTAATTTTGGCGGCTGCCTCAGCTCACCGCGAGAGGATCGAATCAGCGAAGCGGAGTATTTTGATGGCCAGTCGGTAGGCGTGCTCCCTTGCACTTGTAGGAGTCGAGATTGGCGCCAGAGTCGGTATCATAATCAGTGGCGGACGGTCTCGACACGGTGGTTGTACTTGTAGTGGTTCTGATGAAGCAATGTGGACAGCGAAAGTGCTGTACTTGTATTGTCGCAATTTTCGTTTTCTTGTCAATTCTTCCAGAGGGCCCTATCGTGGTAATTGTATTGCGTGGTTAAGGCGTCATGACGGTCCCAGCTTGGAGGCCTCCCCAGCCCGAATACCGAAGTTCGGAGATAATTTGGAAGTCAGTTTCCCAATCCAACTCACCGCATCTTTTGTCCCATACGAATTATACATTGCCGAAGCAGCACGAATCGTGTCGAACTCATCATGGGGCCGTACGCGTATCGTAAGTTTCCATGCGTCGTCCACGGGCGCACAGAGGAATATCGCAATAGTGCCAAACCAGGTACGGGCCGCCGTAAAGTGATCCCATACCGTAGGCTCGAATCTCACTTCCATTGTACAATGGTGCTTGGTCTAATCGTGTGGAGTTCTATTGTGTCGGAGGGGGTCGCAACGCCTCCCGTCCAGAACCAATCCCCACTGCCGTACTCGGTGTTGTGTTGCTGGCATTCGCTGTATTGCACGTGGTATTGTTGGATGCCGTAGCGCTGCATGACGCTGCGCAGTTCATTGTCGTGCCGTTGGTTCCCATCGTGGTGAGCATCGATGCGATTCACATCGACATGCGTGATGCTTCGTTTTTTTGTGCTGGTCACCTTCATGTGCTTGGTACTTTCTGTGCCTGCAGCCAGGCGCTCTCTCTCTCCCTCTGCTCAGCGATGTTTGCTACATCCCGTCGTGGGAGTGGCTGCTGGTTCTGTATGCGCTGGTGCTGTGTGCGCTGGTGCTGTGAGGAGGAGGAGGGGTGAGGAGGAGGAGGAGGGGGGAGGAGGAGGAGGAGGAGGAGGAGGAGGAGGAGGAGGAGGGGGGAGAAGAGGAGGAGGAGGAGGAGGAGGAGGGGCAAGAAGAGGAGGAGGAGGAGGTGCGCTGGTGCTGCTGCCCTCCTCAATTGGCGCCCTCCCTCCCACTGCAGGAGCGCTGCCGCACTGCACACGCCGCGTGCTGCGTCTGCCTCGGGGGCTGTGGCTGCCGGTCGCGCCGTGGAGGCCGAGGTCGCAAACTTCCAGGGGGAGGAACATATTCTGCAGGAGGGGCCCTGAGAGTCGACGCTTCGAACAAATTCGCGCAGGCGGTTTCGGGCCGTTTTCGGCATCTGGGGGCCCTCGCTGGGCTTCGGGAGCGGCACCAAACGACTCAGGCCGAAAAACCGGTCCTAGAGAAGTGGTCCGGACCTCCGGGGCCCACGCATCGAAAAAATTGGAGCTGTTGGATGACTGGGGACACAAATCAGGCGATCGCAAACATGGATCACGGGGGCGTGGATTTGCGATGGGTCTCGCTTCCAGGGAAAACCGTGGATTTCGGCCGCCGAACGGGGGGGCACCCGTCGCATTTTGGGGAGGGCACCTCCCCCGATCCGTGGATTCGGAGACCGCGCGCCAAATCCATGGATCGCTAGTCCATACCCGCGCGCCCCCGAGTTAAAACAGAGCGGGAAAATATGGGGAATCCTGTTATTCGTGTCTATTTTTTTGTGTGTCTCAGGGCCCCTTCACTTTCGGCGCGCTTTTGGCGCGCTCGGGCTTGTGCGAGCAACCACTTTCAGGCAAGCATTTTCGCGTTTTGCCGCTCGGCGTGGTGACGATGCGAACATGCCCGTTAACCAGCCAGTGGGTATGGTTAGCGTTCCGAAGAGTGCCAAACCCATCATCAACATGATCCCGAAGGAGGCGCCGAGTATCCACACCGTCCCGCATCCTAGTGCCGTCCACCCCCATGCGAGGGAGAAAGGGCCGAAACCAAGGATCATGGTGGTGCTCGGGGGCATTCCTGATGGTACAATCGTGATGTAGATCGGACACACGGAGTCTGCCATGATATTCTAGACGTTCTGCGTAACCCTACCAGCACACCCAGACACGATGCCCAGGCGAGTTGCCTTGATCATGGATGTGGAGGAGCATGTAGTGAAATAAAGGGCTCCGCTGTACCCCAAGATGGGGAGGGTGGAGGAGGAGGATGAGGAGGAGGAGGGGGGGGAGGCGGAGAGAACATGGGGACTCTGATCGCCTTTCGGCTTGTGTTTTCCTATGGTTTCCGTAAGGCTGTCGCATCCTTCCTTCTCTTCCTCCTTCTCCTACGGCTTCTTTTCTCTCCTCCTCCTTCTCCTCTTTCTTTTTGCGTTCTCCCGGAAAGATGATAATATGATCTCGAACTTCGTTTTTTTTGTCGGGGGGGGGGGGATGGACGAAGACGAGGAACAACCAGATGAGCGGGCTGAGGAGGGTGCGCTGGATGGGGGGAGGAGGAGGAGGAGGAGCAGGAGGAGGAGGAGGAGGAGGAGGAGGAGGAAGAGGAGGAAGAGGAGGAGGAGGAGGAGGAGGAGGAGGAGGAGGAGGAGGAGAAGAAAGAGTACGAGTGCTAGTACGAGTAGGAGTAGGAGTAGGAGCAGGGGCTGGAGGAGGATCCGCCCCTCTCGTTCTTTCACCCCCTGTCCCGCCTCCTCTTCTCCCTCCACCTCCCCCTTGCTCCCGCTCCGTCCTCCCTCCCCGCCCTTGCGTAGCCATTTTCGTCAAATGGCAAGCACTCCTGCTTACTACCTCCATGCAGTGCACACGTAGCAGGTAGCAGTTGCCCGCTCGACAGAGGGTTAGCCTGGGCCTGCTGCAGCGATGCAGTTTCTGTCGCATGTTTTTTTCCTGCTCCTCGGCTGCACCTCCCAGCGGGCCACCTCCCTCCAGATCGGGGGCAGCGGCGAGTCCCTGGAGCAGGTCGTGGCACTGGAACAGGTCCGAAGCAGCGGCGGGGAGCTGTGGCCCTGGGCCAAGACGCCGAGCACGTCCACGCCGCCCGCACGGGCGGAGTCTGGCCAGCTCCAGACGACGAGCCAGCCGGCCGAGGATGCCAGCTCCGGCGCGGCTGCAGGCGGGGCCGTGGTCGACCGCGGCCTCCAGCCGCGGACCCCCGAGCTGAACGAGCTGGAGCGCCTGCTGAAGGAGGCCGAGCGGGAGTTGCCGCAGGAGCCGGGGCAGCCCCTCGCCACGCAGGGCGAGCAGGAGCTCTCTCAGGCCCGGCGGGCCCTGGCAGAGGCCCAGTGGGTCAGGGACAAGCTCCGAGCTGAGGTGCAGGCCAAGCGGCACGAGCTTCTCGTGTTTGTCAAGGCCCAGCACGCCGCCAAGAAGGCCGCCAAGGAGCAAGAACTCCAGAGGGCCAACGAGACCCAGCAGGCCACGGCGCAGGCTGCCGAGCAGGAGGCCCGCGACGCGGAGGCCCTGCAGGCTGCCGAGGCGCAATCCGCCCAGCAGGCCCTCCTTGCGCGTGCCGCGCGGGAGCAGCTGCAGGAGTTCCAGGCTCAGGTGGACGCCAAGCGGCGCGAAGGCGAGAGCCAGCTGGCCGCAAGGAGGAAGGACCTCGAGGCCGAGCTGACGACCAAGCAGCACGAGCTCCGGGGGTTCGCCGAGGCCTTGCCGGCCAAGCTGCAGGCTTTCGAGAGGGCGGCCCTCGGCGTGAAGGCCCTGCAAGCGGCGGGGGCGGAGGCCGCCGAGCAGGCGCGCGCCGCGCAGGAGGCGGCTAAGGCGGACGCCAGCAGGCACGAGCACGAGCTGCTGGAGATCGAAGAAGAACAAACTACATAAACATGCACTTGTTTGGCGCTCCGCGCGGATCCAAGAAATCCGCGCGGAGCGCCAAAGAAGTGCATGCTTATGCGGCTTTTTCCTCCCCTAGGAGAGGAGGCAGGAGCTCGAGGCCCAGGCGGATGCCAAGCAGCGCGAGCTCAAGGAGGCCAGCGAGGCCGAGCTGGCCGAGGAGCAGGCCGCCGAGCAGGCGGCCGGCGACGTACAGAGGCTGCAGCTGGCCCAGGCGCGGGCCGCCGAGCAGGCCCGCGCCGCGCCGGCGGAGGCCAAGGCGGAGGCGCAGCGGCGCGAGCTCCGGGTGCTGGAGAGCGAGAGAAGCCTGGAGGCTCTTTGCTTGCTCCAGCCTGCTTTCGCCTCGATCGCCAGGAAGAGTGTCGAGCACCCGGGAAGTACCGAACCTCGAGGGTCTTCCCGCGTCGGGCCCTGGGAGGCGATGCCCGTTCGACGCTGCTTCGATGCTTTTCTGGGTGCTCGAAACTAGTTCTGGGATGTGGTCGTTGAGAGCGGTGGGAGCAACATAACTCGAGGCCGAGACGGACTCGAAGCGGCGCGAGCTTCAGGAGGCCACCGCGGCCCTGGAGGCCGCCGAGGCCGTCAAGGCCCTGCACTTCAAGCAGGCCGCCGAGGCCCTGGTGGCAAGGCCGCCTGCCGCCACGACCCACTCGGACTGAGGGGGCTCAGGCGACGGCATTCTGCACTTCCTGCTCCCTCTGCCGCTGCTGCTGCTCTTCCTCGGTTGAGCATCGTGTGAACTTCTGCTTGTGGTAACTTTCATCCTAGGGCTGCAATTCAGAGGTTAGGGTCCCACACGCTCGTGAGTTGGGTGTGTCGTAAAAAAGGTCCTGCCCTCGCGGTTCCTGGTGTGAAGTCGCAGCACACAGCGTATTACTACACCTGGCACGGAGGATACTCGATGGATGCAGGAGCGTCAAAGGGGTCTTCAACACTCGGATATTCTCGCCCACTGTCGTACCCTTTCTTCAGTTGCGTTTCGTGGTTATCGTGCCGTGCGCAAGCCATGCACCGTTCAATATACAGTGAATGCATCATGAATTGGCTTTCACATTCAGCTCAGTGGATGGAGCGCCTAAAAACAGTTCAGACCGTCTGATGGTCAGCCGTTACGATGGATCGCCGAGAAGTTGGGACGTTGTACTTCATTATCGCCGGTGAAAGTACGAATCGAAGTTGCTATCCTCTCATGTTGAGTAGCAACACTATTACGAACGTGTGGCAGGGCAATTGGATTCTTACCGTTTCAGCTTTCCTAGCTCGCGAACGTGTGGCCGGGCTGTGGGGTTCTCACAATTCAGTTTTCCAAGCTCACTTGCCAATCTCGCCTTTTGAGCTATACAAGCTCCACAATACAATATCTCAGGTTTCGTGCTGTTCCGACCCCTCCAAGGAGGCCCCGCCAGAGAGAGCATGATATCGGTACTTACATGTCATCGTACATACGAGTTGCCGGGAACAAATTCTACCCACCCCAACCCCGAAGCTTATTATCCCCACTTTGTGATTCTCAGGGGCATAGGGTTAATGTGATGTTTCGGCAGATTCGATTGACCCTTGCGCATGATGATGATTAATGCTGGTCAGGCGGATAGGGAGGGGGAGGCGGTGGGAGGAAAGGGAGGGACGGGAGAGAGGGGAAGCACAGGGGAGTTGGTCATGTGCACGTTTCAGTACAGCCAACCGGGTTCTCCGAGTGCGGCGGCCACATGCGAAGCCTACCCCACCACCCCACGGGGAGGGACATGGGGAGGGGGAGATTGGGGAGGGAGGAGGAGGGGACGGAGGAGGGGAGGAGGGAGGAGGAGGAAGAAGGAGGAGGGGGGGGAGGGAGGGAGGGAGGGAGGAGGGAGGGAGGGGAGGGAGGAGGAGGGGAGGGAGGAGGGAGGGAGGGAGGGAGGAGGAGGAGGAGGAGGAGGAGGAGGAGGAGGAGGAGAGGAGGAGGAGGGAGGAGGAGGAGGAGGGAGGGAGGAGGAGGAGGAGGAGGGGGGGGAGGAGGAGTTTTGGGGGAGGTGGGGCAGGCTTCGCACGTGGCCTCTCACGAGTGGTGCCCCGCCGCCCCAGACCTCGGACCGCACGGGTGCCTCGCGCGCGCCCCCTGCTCGATGCGGTGCCCCGCCGCCCCTCCGCCCAGGCCGCCTCGCTGTGCCCAGCCTCCCTGCGCGCTCCCCGGCCCTGCTCGTGCCCCCCCTCGCGGGGCTCCCGCCGATTCCTCCGATTCGGTTCGCTCCGATCCCGATGGCTTCCGATGCCCGATTCCCATTCGATTCGGCCTCGAAGACCGGCTTGGATTCCGACTTCTCAGCGGGGCCTACAAATTTGCCGATTTCCGCCGATTCGACTTCTCCCGGCTTAGCGGGCGATTTCCGCCGATTCGATTCATTTTGAACCGCCGATCCGATTTGACGATTCGACTCTGGGCCCTCCTGCCTTCGCCCCGTGCACAGACCGAAGATCGGCAGGCTGCGTGCGCATATAAACTCTCGCAGGTCCGCGCGGCTTCTGTTGGACCAGACGTCGGGTGCGGCGCGAGCGCGTCCAGACTGCCTCTCCCCGCTCTCCTCTCTCCTCGTTCCATGCTTTCCAGTACCCCATGCCTTTCCTCTTCCCTTTCCTCTTTCCAGTGCCCCAGGGGATCCAAGACATATGTTATAACTTCGCCGGAGATTGGAGTTCATTGGAGTCTGACTTCGTGCACAGGAACGACATGTGAGGGCTGCGGCCCCTGCGCCTTGCCCGGCGCGGGTCGGCCTTCTCGGCCGGACGCGGCGCGCCTCCTCCTCGTCCTCCTCCTCCTCCTCCTCCTCCTCCTCCATGCCTTTCCTCTTGCTCCCTCGGCTTCTTGCTGTTCCTTCTCCAGTTGTTCTTCCTCCGTCGTTTTTCGACTCGTTTTCTGTGCCTCGATCTCAACGTGCCCGCTCTCTGGCAAGGTGTCCCCTGGGGCGCGGCGAGCAGCGCACTTAGACGTCGATAGTGATTTCGCAGATTCGGGTTTTGCAATCGCTCTGCGTCTCAGGGCAGCCCCTCCAGGCAGGAGCCCAGAGCATGACCAGGAGAATGTTGCCGGCAGCCCAGCGTTCCCCCCCAGCCTCGACCAGCGCCGGCCCACCCAGAGCACGAACGAACGGCAGCAGCTTGATGCAGGAGCTCACTGGAGTTAGAGGAACAGGAAGCTGTAACCACGTAAACATAAACTTTCGGAGGTCCGTGCGGATTTTTCTTGATCTGCGCTGAAAGCTCCCTCTCTGGCGCGCGGAGCGCGCCAGGGGCGGCGCCGAAGGCGCCCCCAGGGGGACCCAGCGCCGATCCACTAAATCCGGCAGGACCTCCGAAAGTGTATGTCTACGTCATTATTCGTTTCCCGACCAGAGCACGAATGAACGACAGCAGCTGGATGCAGGAGTTCAAGAGCATGCGATACCCTTCTGTTTTCTCCTTACGCGCTCCCCTCGCCTTCCTGCGGCGTTTCGGCTCCTCAGCTCGACGCGCTCACTGTCCTGCCCCGTTCGGCGGTCGGCGGGGCTTGCTGCGGGCGACAGCGGGCATCGCTGCGTGGCAGGCTCGGGTCTGGGGTTTCAGGAGAAGGGAGGAGGAGGAAAAGGTGGATAATGACGATGATGACGATGATGATGATGATGCTGATGATGATGCTGTTGATGACGATGATGATGATGCTGATGATGATGCTGCTGATGATGATGCTGATGCTGATTCTGATGACGATGGTGATGCAGATGATGATGATGCTGCTGCTGATGATGATAATGACGAGGATGATGCGGATGCTGATGATGACGATGATGATGATGGCGATGATGCTGATGCTGATGCGGCTGATGCGGCTGATGATGATGACCATGATGATGCTGATGATGACGATGATAAGGGTGGCGATGATGATGCTGCTGCTGATGCTGATGATGATGACGATTCTGATGCTGATGCTGATGATGATTATGATGCTGATGCTGATGATGATACCGATGATCATGCTGATGTTTCTGATGTCGATGATGATGATGTCGCTGATTATGATGATGATGCTGATGCTGATCCTGATGATGCTGCTGCTGATGACGATGATGATACTGATGCTAATGATGATGATGATGATGATGATGATGATGATGATGATGATGATGATGATTACGATGCTGATGATGCTGATGATGATGACGCTGATGATCCTGATGCTGATGCTGATGATGCTGATGATGATGCTGATGCTCATGTTGATGCTGCTTATGACGAGGATGATGCTGATGCTTCTGCTGGTGATGATGCTGATGGTGATGATGATGCTGCTGGCGACGATGATTATGCTGATGCTGCTGCTGATGATGATGCTGATGCTGATCATGATGATGATGACGATGATGATGCTGATGCTGCTAATGATGATGATGATGCTGCTGCTGATGATGATAATGACGAGGATGATGCGGATGCCGATGATGATGCTGATGATGATGACGATGATGATGCTGATGCTGATGCATGGTGATGGTGATGGTGATGGTGATGATGCTGATGATGTTGCTGATGCTGACGATGCTGAGGCTGATGCTGATGCTGACGCTGACGATGCTGATGATGTTGCTGATGCTGCTGATGATGATGCTGATGATGCTGACGATGATGATGCTGATGTTGATGAAGATGCTGATGCTGATGCTGATGCTGGTGATGATGATGATGCCGATGCTGACTTTGATGCTGATGCTGATGATGATTGTGATGCTGCCGATGCTGATTATGTTGATGCTGATGCTGAGACTGATGCTGATGAGGATGATTATCATGACGTCGATTATGATGCTATGCTGATGCTGATGATGATGCTGATGCTGATGACGATGATGATGACGATGCTGATGCTGACGATGCTGATGATGATGTGGATGCTGATGTTGATGCTCATGATTATTCTGATGTTTATGATGATTGTGATGCTGGTGATGATGAGGCTGATACTGACGATGATGATGCTGATGCTGACGCTGATGACGCTGATGACGCTGATGATGCTGCTGATGATGAGGACGACGGTGCTGATGATGATGATGATGCTGATGATCATGATGATGCTGTTGCTGACGATGATGGTGCTGATGCGGCTGCTGATGATGATGCTGAGGATGAAGACGATGCTGATAATGCTGATACAGCTGATGATGCCGATGATGATGATGCTGATGCGGCTGCTGATGACAATGATGATGATAATGACAATGGCGATGCTGATGCTGATGCTCATGATGACGATGATGATGCTGATGCTGATGATGACGCGGATGCTGATTATGGTGATGATGATAGTGCTGCTGCTGATGATGATGATGATGATGACGACGCTGATGATGTTGATGCTGATGCTGAGGCTGAGGCTGACGCTGATGATGATGCTGATGACAATGCTGATGATGATGATGATGATGATGATGATGATGATGATGATGATGATGATGGTGATGCTGCTGCTGCTGCTGCTGCTGATGATGAGGATGATGATGAGGATGATGATGATGATGATGATGATGATGATGATGATGATAAGGAGGAGGAGGAGGAGGAGGAGGAGGAGGAGGAGGAGGAGGAGGAGAAGGGAGAGGAGGAGGGGGAGGAGGAACAGGAGGAGGAGGAGGAGGAGGAGGAAGAGGAGGAGGAGGAGGGGGACCAGAGTAATCCCAAGACTCATGAACGATGTTGGAATAAACCCTCCCTCCAAGCTCCTTCTTCACAGGCTCCTACGAGAGTTAATTTCCTCTGAGTAAAACGCCCCGTTGGGAGACAACTGTTTGAAGATCTTGAAGCGTACCAAAAGCAACACGTCTTCTTTCCAACTTCCGCCTTCATAGGCCCCTACAATGATTGACTCATCTTTCTAGAGGACAGGTCCCCGTTCTAAGACAATTGTTTGAACATCCAGAACTGTGCGAGAGCACCATTCCTGGGACGTCAGCGCCGCGAATCACCTTTGCTGTTGCGTCTTGACGATCCTGACTCGTGCCAGAACACCGTTCCTGGGGCTCCAACGCATCGAGTCGAGGTAACTGTTGCGTTCTGACAGTCCGACATCGTGCCAGCACACCATTTCCGGGACGCCGTCATACGAATTTTTGAACTTGCTGTAATCTTGCAAAAAATGTGCGCGCCGCTCAGGCAATGACCACATTTAGAAAAGACGCCTCCTCCATCGGGGAAGCTCTTGCAATCTTTAGGGCCGCCCCCCCATTCGTGAAACTCTTGCGCACTTTTGACACGAATGTGCGCAGCGCTGAGGCGAGAGCCACATTCTGCAAACCACTCGCCCTCCAGCTTGCAAACTCTTAAGATGAGTGTGCGCGGCGCCAAGGCGAGGGACACATTTTGAAAACCACCCGCTCTCCATCCGTGAAGCTCTTGCAAGTTCTTGGAACGAATGTGCGCGGCTAAGGCGAGAGCCACATTTTGAAAATTGCCCGCCTTCCATCCGTCAAGCTCCTTGTAACTTTTCACCTTGAGGATAATACATGGTGAGGATGTTTCAGCTGAGACGCCTGGCCCGCCCTTCCGACGCTTTTCGGGGTGCGACAGGGAGGAGTTCTTCTTACGGTCAAGGAATCGAAGATAAGAAAGGAGGGAGACATGGAGGGAAGACGGAAGGAGGAGGAATAACAAAGACGATACGGAAAAAGGTGAAGATGAGGGGGATGAGAAGCCTCTTGGATGCATATGTGGGCCTGTTGGAGGGCTCTTGGGGGGCATCTGGTTGGCTTTTCGGAGCCTCTTGGGGGCGCTTCGGGGGTCACTGGTTGGCTGTTGGGGCCACCGCGGCGCGAAAGACTCGCGATGCCAGCTCGTATTGCCACGCTTGGGCCCCTCTGGGGGCCCTTCGGGCAGTCTTAGGGCCTTCCTGGGGGCCCGGTGGGTCGTCTCGGGACACTCCTTGGCCTGTGGAGCACGTGCGTTTCCCCAGGGGAATGGGGCGAGTCTTGCCTCTTGGCCGCCCTCTGGGCGGTCCTCTGGGAGCAGTCCTGGGCCGTCTTGGAGGCCTCGTGGGCCGTCTTGAAGCCGTGTTGGACCGTCGCGGGTTACCCTTGGCCGTCTCGGCACTCCTCTATTGGAGTATTTCGGCGCTCCGTTTGGGCCCTCTTCGGCGGCCGTTTTGGGGCTCTCTGGAGCCTCCAGAGAACCCTTGGGGTGCGTTGACGAGCTTGTGCCCTCCACCCCTAGAATCGGAGGTTGGGGGGTGAGATCGCAGTGGAACGGAGACCCCCAACTGGGAAATCGTTTCGTTTCGTTCGTGTCCTGCGTGCGGGCGAGGCGAAGCTGCGTGGGAGCGCGAGAGGAATGAACCCGCCGCTGCTAGGGCGAAGTCAAGACAAATGATTCTCCCCCTCCCGCCCGTCCGGCGGTGGCTCGCGGTGTCCCGCCGTGTCCCGTGGTGTCCCCGCGGTGTCCCGTGGTGTCCCGTGGTGTCCCGTTGAGTGAGATCGATAGTGACATCGATATTGAGATCGATACTGAGATCGATGTGGTGTCCCGAGGTGCCCCGTGGTGTCCCGTTGAGTGAGATCGACAGTGAGATCGATAGTGAGATCGATAGTGAGATCGATGTGGTGTCCCGAGGTGTTCCGTGGTGTCCCATGGTGTCCTATGGTGTCACGTTGAGTGAGATCGATAGTGAGATCGATAGTGAGCTCGATAGTGAGACCAATCGTGAGATCGAGAGGTGTCCCGCGGTGTCCCGTGGTGTCCCGTGGTGGCTCGTGGTGTCCTGTGGTGTCCCGTTGAGTGAGAACGATAGTGAGATCGATAGTGAGATCGGCAAGTGTCCCGTGGTGTCCCGTGGTGTCCCGTGGTGTCCCGTGGTGTCCCGTTGAGTGAAATCGATAGTGAGATCGATTGAGTCAGATGTTGGTTCCCCCCCCTCTCTCCCCCCACGCAACCTCCTTCTCACCCGAAGGGTGGTCGTATAGGTATCAATTTGGACCCTTGGGAGTGGGAAAGGGGGAGGGGGACAACCACATGTCTGACACGCCTCTTCACCCCTGGCAAGCAGGGGTTGGTGGATTTCCTCTTCTTCTTCGTCCTCCTCAGCTATATTTGCGGATGTTCCTCCTCGGGAAGCTTCTTGGGGGCACCACGCAACTTCTTTAAAGGTTTCTCGCGGGCTTCAGCGTGCCGCATGGGCGGCGCCTTCTGGGGGCCTCTGGGGGCTTCCTCGGGCCACCTTGCTGCGAACCACGGTCTCCCTCAACTACCGGGTCAGGAGATGGAGGAACTTGGGGCCATTTTTGGGCCGTCAGGGGGTTCCTTCGGGCCATCTTGGGGCCCTGTTGGGCCGTCTTTTTTTTGGATTGTCAGCAGGCTTTTTGGATAGTTTTCGGATAGATTCTGGCGCCCCTTTCGGGCGGTATCGGACACCCAGAAGACAAGAACTGAGTATTCCAGAACGAAACAAAACACCTTGAGACAATGAAGGCCTTTTGCGTTTCGAGGGTCTCGTGGGGGTATTATTTGAACCGTTTTCGGGCGTCCAGTGGGTGTCTGGGACCGCTTGGGACTCTCGCGGTGCCGTTTGGTTGCCCTCCCGACCGTTTTGGGCCCATTTCCGAGGGCCAGCAGGGAGGTTCAGGAAGCCCAGAAGGCTGAAGGAGCGCCCTGCATGAGCGTATGTGCGTGAATTGTTTAGCATGTGGTACGGCTTGTCCTGCGCCTCATCCCGGCCATCATCCTCACTCTCTCTTCTGCAATTGTTGCCCCCCCCTATTCTGCGCCTCCTTACTATTATGCTGCTGTTTCCCAGAAGGATCAGCATTGTGCTGCTGGTTAGCATCCATTTCGTGCTGATATGATTCGCTTCATCATCCCCCCCTTGCGACCCCCTTGCTGCTGCTGATCCTCATCATACTTAGTCTGCTACTGCTGTTCCTTATGCTTCTTATCATGCCGTTGTTATCCATCCTCATCCTTCATGTTGCTTGTCCTCATCCGGCTCCTGCTGGCAGAGCAGCAGAAGCAGGACAATGTGGAGGGTGTGGGGGTGACGAGCAAACGCAGCAGACGGCGGAGTGCGAGGAGCAAGAGGAGTGTGTGGAGAGGGAGGATCCGCAACAGCGGCATTCGATCGAGCAGGAGAGAGGGGGGGTAGCGTGAGACGCCCGAAGCAGCACTTGCAGGCGAATGACGTCGAGCGCAGCCTCCTCTGCCAGGCGCAGCTCGCCTTCTTGCCAGTCTGTGCGCGGGGGAGTTCGCGAGTCAGGAGGGCGAAGTATCTGCAGTTCACTGGGGATGGCGCGATGATCTGGGTCAGAGCGAAGCAGGAAGGGGAGGAGGATGATGCCCTGCTCCCTTTCCCTCCGTCTCCGCTCCCATCCGACCCCTCGCCTTTCAAAGGCGTCGAGTCGTTTGTGCGTTTCCGTCCAGCCGCCTGCGGCAAGTCGCGCCACCGTGCCAGGCCAGCATTCTGGGTTGCGACTGTTCGAGGGGGCACTGATGTGCTATCTGGGCCACCTCGACGATATTGGTTCTGGGCTTCGGGCTTCGGTGATACCGCGCATTCGAGGACACCATGAGGGGCGTGATGGAAATGGCTGGGCGGCAGGAGTGCCCTTACTTTGAACCGAATGTGGCCATCTCGGGGCGCTCTGAAGCTCATAGGAAGCGTAATAGCGTGAAAGTGAGCATCATAGGAAGCCGTGGGTTGTTTGAATGGTTTTGACCTCGTGAAGTCCTCTTTGGAGCTGTCTTGGACCATCTTGCTATTTGGGCCACCTCGCTGCCTCTTGGGCGGTTTTGCGGGGGATCTTAAGGCTGTTTCGGGGTCATCTCGGGATCCGCCACCTCTTGATGTCCACTCTTGTGTCGCCCTGGGGCCCTCTTGGAGCTCTCTTGGATCTTGGGTCTCTACCGCGGCGCGTTTGGTGGGGGGTATTCGGAGCTCTCTTGGAGCCCTTTTGGGCCCGGCCCCACCGAGAGTCATCTTTTGCGATCTTGGAGCTATCTGGAGGCTTCAGAATTCCATCGAGAGCGAAATGCAGAGGAAGTTTACATTTTCGATCAACCCGTAGATTTATATCTGATTTTAACCTTCTGGAGGCCTCTTGAGGGCTGTCTTTTGCCATCTTGGGCCACCTCGGAGCTGTCTTGGGGCCTTTTGGGGCTGTCTTGGAGCCCTTGTTAGGGCCCTGTTCGAGCCCTTCCAGGTCCCACTTGAAACCATGTTCAGTCGTCGTAGAATCCCAGAGGCAGCGAAAAGATAAGAAGTCCAACAGCAATGAACACATTTTCGTTGTTGGACTATTTTGGCTTCCTGGGGGCTGTCTCAGGCCATCTCGGGCTGCCTCGGGGCCGTCTTCGGGCCTCTTGAGGTTGTCTTGGGGGCATCTTGGGCTGCTTCGGCGCCATCCTGGGGCCTGCCGCCCGTTGATGCCGGCTCGTGGGCCGCCCTTGGGACCCTCTTAGGGCTGTCCCGGGCCTTTGCTGGGGCGCTCTTGAGGATGTTTCTCGGAGCTCTTTTGGTGCCGTTTTGGGCCCCACTTGGAGCCATTTTGGGCAATTTTGGGACCATCTTGGGGTTCTAGAATCCCACAGACAGCAAACATACAAGAAATCCAACTCCACTGTAAGCGTTTGTTCCCAACCATCCTGTGCTATTGGGTCCTCGTTCTGAACGGATAGCGCCCCGCGTTTCTCACTCCTTATTCCTCCTCCTCCCCTCTCCTCCCATCTCTGCCTTTGCCCTTCGCATTTTTCCGTCACCATCCTCATGGTCAGCATCGTTGTCATCATCATCAGCATCACCACCGCCACCATTATCATCATCACCATCATCATCGTCGTCATCATCATCACCACCACCACATCAACATCAGCATCAGCATCAGCATCAGCATCAGCATCAGCATCAGCATCAGTATCATCAACATCGTCAGCATCAAGGTCATGATCATCACATTATCATCATCACCAGCATCAACAACATTAGCATGATTATCATCATCATCGCACACTCATTATTCTCATCTTCATCGTCATCATCATCATCACCGTCATCATCATTGTCATCGTCGTTGTCATTGCCGCCGTCGTGGCCATCACCATCATCGTCATAATCATCAGCATCAGCATCAACATCATCGTCATCAACATCATCACCACCATCACCATCACCATCACCATCATCATCATCATCATCAACATCATCACCACCACCACCATCATCATCATTATCGTCATCACCACCGCCACACCTCTACCACCACCATCACCCATCCAACATCATTAACGTCATCAGCATCATCGTCTCCATCACCAGCATCATCGTTAACATCATCCTTACCATCATACTCATCATCACCATCATCATCAGCATCATCATCATCAGCATCATCATCATCGTCATCAGCATCATCATCATCATCTTCTTCACTGTCAGCACCATCATCACCATCATCATCATCATCATCACCACCCTCTTCGTCATCATCGTCATCGTCGACACCGTCGTCGTCATCATCGGCATCGTCGTCGTCATCGTCATCATCGTTACATCATCATCATGATCATGATCACGCTCATCATCACCATCATCATCATCATCATCATGACCATCATGATTATCATCACCATCATCATCAGCATCATCAGCAGTACCATAACCACCACCACCTTCATCACCACCGCCATCATCACCAGCATCATCATCATCACCACCACTATCATCATCATCATCATCATCATCATCATCATCGTCATCATCATCATCATCAGCATCATCATCACCACATCATCATCATCATCATTATCATCATGATCACCATCACCATCACAATCACCATCAGCATTACCATCACCATCAGCATCACCAACGTTATCATCACGGTCAAACATCACGGGCACTCGGCCGCCATCCCCATTTCGGCACACCCCTTAAACGTTTCGTGGCGTCATAGGAAGCCCCACCCAAGGCCTCAGTGGCTGCGTTCGCATGCCTTCTCTGCACCGTTTCGGCGCACCTTCACACGTTTCCTCACACGTTTCGTGGCTTCATAGGGAGCTCCACTTGAGGCCCCAGTGGCCGCGTTCGCATGCCGTCTCCATAAAATTTCGGCGCACCCTTCACACGTTTCGTGGCCCCATAGGGAGCTCCACCTCAGGCCCAAGTGGCTGCATTCCATTGCCTTCTCCACACTATTTCGGCGCACCTCTCACACGTCGTGGTCCCATAGGGAGTTCACCTGAGGCCCCAGTGGCTGCGTTCGCATGCCTTCTCCACACCATTTCGGCGCACCTCTCACACGTTTCGTGGCCCCACAGGGAGCTCTACTCAACGCAGTGGCCAGGTTCGCATACCTTCTCCACACCATTTCGGCACACCCCTCATACGTTCAATGGCCTCATAGGCAGCTCCACCTGAGGCCGCAATGGCTAGGTTCGCATGACTTCTTCACCAGTCCCGCTCACCGCTCACTTTTCGTGGCTCCATAGGCGGCTCCACCCAAGGCCCCAGTCAGTGGCCAGGTTCGCATATCTTCTCCACACCATTTCGGCGCACCTCTCACACGTTTCGTGGCCCCATAGGAAGCTCCACCTCAGGCCCCAGTGGCTGCGTTCGCATGCCATCTCCACACCATTTCGGCGCACCTCTCACACGTTTCGTGGCCCCATAGGGAGTTCCACCTGAGGCCCCAGTGGCTGCGTTCGCATGCCTTCTCCACACTATTTCGGCGCATCCCTCACAAGTTTCGTGGTCCCACAGGGAGCTCTACTTAACGCCCCAGTGGCCAGGTTCGCATGTTTTCTCTACGCTATTTCGGCACACCTTTCATACGTTCCGTGGCCCCCGAGGAAGTTCCACCTGAGTCCACAATGTCTAGATTCGCATGATTTCTTCACGAGTCCGGCTCACCGCTCACGTTTCGTGGCTCCTCAGGCGGCTTCACCCAAGGCCCCAGTGGCCAGGTTCGCATATCTTCTCCACACCATTTCGGCGCACCTCTCACACGTTTCGTGGCCCCATAGGGAGCTCCACCTCAGGCCCAAGTGGCTGCGTTCGCACGCCTTCTCCACACCATTTCGGTGCACCTCTCACACGTTTCGTGGCCCCATAATGAGTTCCACCTGAGGCCCCAGTGGCTGCGTTCGCATGCCTTCTCCACACTATTTCGGCGCATCCCTCACAAGTTTCGTGGTCCCACAGGGAGCTCTACTTAACGCCCCAGTGGCCAGGTTCGCATGTTTTCTCCACGCTATTTCGGCACACCTTTCATACGTTCCGTGGCCCCCGAGGAAGTTCCACCTGAGTCCACAATGTCTAGGTTCGCATGACTTCTTCACGAGTCCGTACCGCTCACTTTTCGTGGCTCCATAGGCGGCTTCACCCAAGGCCCCAGTCAGTGGCCAGGTTCGCATACCTTCTCGACACCATTTCGGCGCACCTCTCACACGTTTCGTGGCCCCACAGGGAGCCCCACCTCAGGCCCCAGTGGCTGCGTTCGCATGCCTTTTCCACACCATTTCGGCCAGGGGGAGCTCGACCGAAGGTTCCAGTGGCAGGAATCGCATGCGTGACCGCGCCTATTCGGCACACACTTCGCACGTGTAGTGGCCCCACAGGGAGCTTCACCCGAGGCTCCAGTGGCAGAACTCGCAGTCGTGACCGCGCCCATTCCAGTGCACCCCTCTCACGCTTCGTGGGCCCATAGGGAGTTCCATTTGAGGCCCTGCCGCCTGCTGCTCCCCGGGACCGCGCCGATAGACGCGCAGATCAGCCGTAATGGGTTACATCCAGATGTATTGTTGTTTTGTTGTTGGTGTTTTTTGGTGCTTTCGTTTTTTTGTTTTTGTTGTTTTGTTGTTTGCATGCTTTGGCTTCTGGGGGGCTGTCGTGGAGGTATTTAGGTGCTGTTTCGGGGTTGCTCTGGGGCCTGCTACCTGTTGATGCCCACCCTTGCGACCCTGCTATGCTGTCTTGGGCGTCCTTTCTTGGGTTCTCGTAGGGGTCTTCTGAACCCTCTTGGAGCCCTTATGGGCCCCACCTGGAGCCATTTTGGGCGATCTTGGGGCCACCTTGATACATCATAATTCCAATGGCAGCGAAAAGGCGACGTCCAACATTAGTGAACGCCGAAATGTTCTGAAGGGTTTGGGCCTCTTGAGGGCTGTATTGGACCATCTCGGATACCTTTGGAGCTGCCTTGGGGCCTTTTGGGGCTGTCTTGGGGTGAGAGCATGGGGCTGTTCCGAGGCCATGCTGGGGCCTGTCTTCCCTTGATGCTGGGTCCCAATTGGAGCCATCTTGGGCGATCCTGGGACCATCTTGAGACTTCAGAATCCCGTCGTCAGCGAAAAGGCGAGAAAACCGAAACCACTGAAAGCGTACAGCTGTCTGAATGGTTGGGTCCTCTCGGGCGCTGTCTTCGACCATCTCGGGTCACCTTGGGGCTATCTTGGGACCTTTCGGATTCGTCTTGGGGGTCAGTTGGGGCTGTTTCGGGCCATCATGTGGCCTGCCACCCCTGGGTGCCCGCTCTTGGGCCGCCCTGGGGCCCTCTTGTGTCCTTCTTGGAGCTGTCTTGGGCCTCTACCAGGGCGCTCTTGGATGTCTTCGGAACCCTTTTGGGGCCCTTCGAGGCCCCTCTTGCAGCCATCGTGGGCGATCTTTGAGTTATCTTGAGGGTTTAAAGTTTCAGGCATCGAAGATGCGAGACCGGCAAACCATTGAAGCACATTACCTTTTTGAATGTTTTTTGCCGCCTTGATACCTCTGTTGGACTGTCTTGGGCCATCTTGGGATCCCTTGGGGCTATATCGAGGTCTCTCGGGGTCGTCTGGGGGGCAGCTTTGGGCGTGCCACCCACTGTTTCGCTTTTTCGGCACCGCTCTTGGGCTCTGGGAAGTCCCTGGGGGAGATTCTTGGGCTGTCGTGAGGGCCCTGAGAGCTGCGCCCTGGTTTTGGGGGTGGGGGTGGAGGTGCCCAGGGTTTCCCGGGACCTTGCCGGGGTATTTCTGGTCCAGATTCTAGTTCGCCTTTCGCCCGTTGGACCGTCGGGCTGGAGCTTCCTAGTTTCGATTCCAGATCAGCTTGGACCTTGCGCCCCCTGAAGTTAGTCGCTGCCAGCAGCCCCGCGGGACCCCACGCCCTGCCTTTCGGACTTCTGAGCTCGTGACCGCCACCCTGTGGCCACAGTGCTCGCGTTTGCTACTGGCTCCGCTCAGCCTCATATCGCCCCTGTCTTGTGCCCTCAAAGCGTCGTTGCCGCTCCTGGCATGGCCCAGCTCTATTCCATGTCCTGTCTTTCGGACTTTTGAGCTCGTGGCCGCCACCCTGTGGCCACAGTGCTCGCGTTTGCTACTGGCTCCGCTCAGCCTCATACCGCCCCTGCCTTGTGCCCTCAAAGCGTCGTTGCCGCTCCTTTGCCGTGGTGGATATCCTTATGGGAGCCCCAGAGACTCCGCAGGGTAGATGGGAGCCCTCCGCACCCTACTGGCTCTAAGCTTGAACGCAGAACCATTCGACTTGATAATGCCTCGCGGTTTTTTTGCGCTCGGCGCTGCGGCAGGACAGTTAGACTTGATAATACGTCGGGGGCGTGAAACAAACAAAAAAGCGTCGTTGCCGCCCGTGGCATGGCCCGGCCCCATGGCCCTTGCCTTTCGGTCTCCAAAGTTCGTCGTCGCGACCAGCCTCGCTCGACCCCTGCCTTGCGCTCCCGCGTGCGCGTCGGCGCGGCTGGCCCCATCCGACCCCGTGCCCCTGCCTTTCGTCTTAAGTCGGGCCTGTCCCTCTACAGGAGGAACATCTAATAATAGTTTAAAAATAGTCTGGGGACGATTTTCAGACTATTTTCGACTATTTTCGACTTTTTAGATTTTTCGCCTCAAAAAATCCGCCTGCAGGAGGACATGCCCGACCTAACTTTCGTCCCTGAAAGCTGGCCGCCGCCGGTACTCGTGTTCAGCCCCACGGTTGGTGGCCCCCAGAGCTCGTCGCCGCTGTCAGCCTTGCTTGCCCCACGCCCCTGCCCTGCACGATGAGCGGGGAGAAGATGTGGAGGAAGAGGGGCTCCACCGCCCCTGTGTGACCGTTACTTCGGGCGGTCGCAGTGCGCCGAACTTCGCGCGCCAGCCCCGCGCGCAGGCGGCGGGCTTGTCCGGCGAAGAGAGCCCGCCGGCTGGTGGCGCTTTTGCTGGCGGCGGTTGCCACGGCCAGCCCCGCGCTTGTTCTTTGGGCTGCGCTGGCCTGGTCCAAGCCATGGCTTGATCTTGCTGCTGCTGCTGATGCCTTGGCCTGCTGCCTCCTGCTGTCTTCCGCTGCCTCCTGCTGCCTCCTGCCTCCTGCTGCCTCTCGCTGCGTCCTGCTTCCACGTGATTCCACTACTGCCCTTCGCCGCGTTTTGCTCGTCCTGTTTCTGCACCTCCTTCCGCTCATCCTGCAACTGCTCATCTTCGTTCATCTCCTGCTCGTGCTTGTGTTCCTGCGCTGCACGTGCTCTTGCTCCTTCTCTTCCTGTGCTCCCGCTCTCCGACTTCTACTTCTGCTGCCACTGCCGCTGCTGGTCCCTGTTTGCGCAGCCCATCCTCTGATACAGCTGGCGCAGACAACAAATTAGGTACAGAAGGGCTTGGAGCGCACACGTTGTGAACACATTGGCGTATCACTGTGTGGAGAGACTGCTTGTCACCTGCAGTGGGCTTGCAGCAACGCGCTCACAGCAAACGCGTACGCTTGCTCCTGCAATCATTCCAACAGCCACCCCACGCGGAACGAGAACGCCTCTGAGCTTTGCGGTTTGTGTGGGTCTGCTGATGTACTTGACTCCGTGCACCAAAGAGGGCTGTGCGAGGCGGAAAGGGATGAGCGGACGAGCATAATTCTTTACGCTTCGCGTATCCCCACCAGCCCATCTCACAACAGCAACTCATGCGAAGCATGCCGACAGTCGTGTTTTTCAGGCGTGTGTCCGTTTGGCCCCGCATATCTCCCCTGTTCCTCCTTCCTCTCGCCTCCTTGTACATCCTCCTTGTGGGGGGAGCGGGAGAAGGACGAGGCGGAGGAGGAGGGAGAGAAAGCGCTCCTCGTGATTTGAGTCGTTTGGGGTTTCTCGTCCTGGTGTGAGTCGTTCGGGCCCTTCTTCCTGGTGTGAGTCGTTCGGGCTCTTCGTGGTGTGAGTCGTTCGGGCTCTTCGTCCTGGTGTGAGTCGTTCGGGCTTCTCGTGGTGTGAGTTGTTCGGGCCCCTCATCCTGGTGTGAGTCGTTCGGGCCCCTCCTCCTGGTGTGACTCGTTCGGGCTCCTCGTGGTGTGAGTCGTTCGAGGCGCGCGTCGTGGTGTGAGTCGCTCGGGCTCCTCGTGGTGTGAATGGGTCGGGCGCCTCGTCCTGGTAGGAGTCGTTCGGGGTCCTCCTTCTGGCGTGAGTCGTTCGGGTTCTTCGTGGTGTGAGTCGTTCGGGCCCCTCGTCCTGGTGTGAGTCGTTCGGGCTCCTCGTGGGGCCTCTTGGCGGCCTCTTGGAGCCTCTTGGGGCCTTTTGGGGGCCTCTTGGGGGCCTCTTGGGGGCCTCTTGGGGGCCTCCTGAGGCCTCTGGGGGCCTCTTGGGGGCCTCTTGGGGGCCTCTTGGGGGCCTCTTGGGGCCACTTGGGGGCCTCTTGGGGGCCTCTTGGAGGCCTCTTGGGAGGCTCCTGGGGGCCTCTTGGGGCCATCTTGGGGCCTCTTGCGACCTCCTCAGAAGCGCAAAGAAGCGCTGCCCCTTGAAAAGGACAAAATGAGCCCAAAACCATCGTAAAATCAATGATTTTGCTATGAAGGAAGATGAGCGCGGCCTCCTCGGGAGGCCAAAATGGGGCCAAAGCCATCGTAAAAGCAATGATTTAGAGGAGGGGGCTACAAGAGTGCCCCCCCCGTCGGGGCCAGAATCCTCGTGAGGGTCGTCGTTTTTTGGCCCTCCCAGGCGTCAAAAAAGACCCCCCTGACCACCCGCGGAACTCTCTCTCCAGGCCCAGGGGGAGGGGGTAGGGGGAGGGGTAAACCCCTCCCCGAAGGGGAAGAAGGGGGGTTGAGGACAGAGGGGGCTCTCTAAACCACTCACGCCCTAAAGGGCTGGTGGGATTATGGTGCAAGCTATCACCGATTTGAATATGTGGAGCGATCAATTGGCCCCCAGAGTACGCTGCATTCCCCCATACGTGGTAAGAGCAATCTGGTCTCATTGGGGTTCGTGGCGGAAGACGCGAAGTGACAGTGTAGCAGAGCGCTGTCAGGGCAAGCGTGGCCCACGACGCGCTGGCACCACTGCCTGCTCTTCTCTGTTGTGGCCGGCTCGACTTCCCCGAGCTGTGCTTGCCCTTGGTGCTCTTCCTTCTCTTACCTGGGTCGTTGAATGGGTCTGCCGAGGATTCGCCACGTTGCCGCCCGTGCCCTCCGGTGGGCGCATCGTGGGCGCCCCGTGCGCTGGGTGCACTGCATCGCAGCTCGTACCGCATAGCTTGCACCGTGTATATATATATATATATACACATACTCCGAACTTCTTCTCAATCAGCCGGGGGGTGACAAACGTGAGCACGCGGCGCGGCCAACCCCCCCCGGCACCACCCCCGCGCCCTGGCGGGGAAGGGAACGAACCCCAGACCCCCCCTGGCACTCCCGCGGACGCGCCGCGGCCAACCCCCTCGGGCACTCCAAGGGGGGGCGATTATGCAGCGATCCAGAGTTTATATATACATATATATATATACATATATATACACACGTATATCAGAGTGAGGGTGCCGAACGCTCATCCTTTGTTCCCGGGTGCGTGGCTGAAGTGGGGATTCGCGGGGAGGTTTTTGCTTGTTGTTGTTGTTGAGCATTATTTATTTTAAAGAATAATTATTGTTGGGCCCCCTGGTGCGCGCCCCCCCTGCGCCGCCTAGGCCGCAGCTACATTTTCATCATTTTCGTGAGGAAGCCTCAGAAAAGAGGGTGTGTACAGGATCCGGTTGTTTTGTTGTAATCCGCTTTCCCTTGCAAAAAACAATAGAAAATGACATTTCTTGTTCTAATATAATCAAATTTCAAGAATCCCTTGCAAAAAATAAGGTAAAGTGGACATTCGCGCGCGCAAGACGAAATCCTTCCAAAACCTTAGTGTTCGGAGCGATTTTAACATAAAAACATCAAAAAACCAATGGTTTTTCAAAAAAATGTCAAAATTTCATCCCGCGCGCTCTTGCGGATTCGTAGGAAACCCAACACTTTTTAAACATTTCTGTCAAACGGGCTTTTGCGAGCAACTTTTTCGAACTTCTGCGACAACGGTTGCGCACCTGCCAGGGCCATCATCCCTGTCAAATAATACCATGCGGGACACATTCGTTTTTTCTTCGCGCGCGCACGCCGTCGTCGTCGGCCGCGGGGCCCTGAATAGTAGCCACGGTCGTCCGCATGCCACGAAGTGAAGTGTCCGAACGTCATAGGGCGGGAAGCTGGGTGTGGGTGGTGGCGAAGAGTCGTTTGGAAATTTGGTAGAGCTTGAACCGGCCCCCCCACAAAGTGGGGGTATTGCCCGCCTCCTATGAAAACCCTGGCACTGGTGAGAACGGAGTGTCCCCAGTCTTAAATGATTGTTGTTGTTGTTGTTGTCGTGGTCGTCCCCCCCCCCCCGACCCGCCCGCGACCTACCCGCGACCCACCCCGCGACCCACCCCGCGACCTATCCGCGACCCACCCCGCGACCCACCCCGCGACCCACCCCGCGACCCGCCCGCGACCCACCCGCGACCCACCCCGCGACCCACCCCACGACCCACCCGCGACCCACCCGCGACCCACCCCGCGACCCACCCCGCGACCCACCCCGCGATTCACCCCGCGACCTGGCCCGCGGCCCGTCCGCGACCCACCCGCGACCCACCCGCGACCCACCCCGCGATCCACCCACATTGCTTTAACGAAGAAATCGGCGCCTGCGGCGGGCTCACCGCATAATTTGTGAAAGTTAGGCGCCTGCGGCGGGCTTCTTCCGAGCCTCGCAGACTGACGACGTCCTCGCCGCCCCCTCACTCTTGTCCGCAACTGCGGGGTGCTACGTATATAGAGAAACACGTAGCGCACACCAACTAGCTTACACCACATAGCTTCCACCACATATTTTGCACTACACAGCTTGCACCACAAAGCTTGCACCGCATAGCTTATGCCACATAGCTATCGCCACACGGCTTTGGCCACATAGCTTACACCACATGGTCTCACCACACAGCTTAAACATCGAGAGTGCGATACTCACTGTTAGGGCCTCGCGTTGGCAAACACCTGGTTTGTGTTATGTTGGGCTTCCCTTATCTGCAATCGTGCTCCAGTCTTGTCTGGTTCGACCTCCGTCCTGCTGGGGTCGGATCGGCATGCCAGAGCTTCAGAGGCACCTCGACAGCGTTGCCGCCGAGAATCTGTACCCCCTCCTTCACTGGCCTCCAACGCCCCCTCCTGTTTCTTCTGTTTGTCGTGCAGACATGCTGTCTTTCCACACGGCCCTCGCACTGTATATATATATATATATATATATATATATAAGGACGGTTCTCTGCGGCTGCCCCCGTTCCGCGCATTGCCCCTGGGTGCTGGGAACTCTCTTGGCTGGCTGGTGTCCCCAGTCTTCTCCGCCTCTCTCGCAGTGCGTGGCTACACACATATATATATATACACACATACACGTACATATACACATTTACATATACATACACATATACATATACGTATTCAGATACATGTTCATGTATATATTCATTTACATTTACACACATATACATACACACACGTATACGTATACATACACGTGTCCGTATAACGATACATATGCATATATGCATCTATGTCCACAACACATATACATACATACACATGTATTTAGTTGTACATATTCTTATGCGCACACATGCACATATACATGTACACATGCATATCCATGTCCATGTGCATATACATAATACATCTACACATACATACACACATGACTATACACATGCAGATACCTATAAACATACATACACATATACATGTATGTGTATGTACATATGCATATACATGTACATGTGCATGTACATAATACATATACACATACATACACATATGACTATACACATGCGTATACATACACACACATACACATATACATGTATGTATGCATGTATGTGTATATTGATATAAATGCACATGGGAAGGGGGTCTCGGGCCCCCCAAAGTGTACTGATTTATCTTCTGGCCGTTTCGGGCTGGTGGGGGGCGAACAAAAAACGCTAAAAAGGGGCCGAGAGACGTCCAAGAGGGCGCCAACATGGTCCAAGAGCGCTCCAAGAGAGCCCAAGACCGCACAAGAGCGTTTCAAAATTGGTCTAACATGGCTTGAAGACAGTCCGAGAGGGCTTCACGACGACTCCCACGAGGCACTCAGGAGGCGAAACAAGTGGTTTTTTCGATGGCATTTGAAGGATTTTTTTTCGTGTTCTCGCTGTTTCGTGCTTCCGACTGTCCAATACAGCCCACGAGGCCCCAGAACTCAGCTCACGACGGCCTAAGAGGCACCGAACGAGGGCGCCATGACGGCGCAAGAGAGTCCCAAGACGGCCCAAGAGTACCCCAAGACAGCCCAAGAGGCGCCCAAGATCGCCCAAGAGGGCCCCAAGACGGCCCCCAAGAGGGGCCCAAGAGGGGGAACACCAACCGACAATTCGAGCCTTCCGCCCCAAGAGGCCTCCAGGAGGCCCCAAGAGGCCCCCAACAGAGCCCAAGAGGCCCCATAGAGGCACCAAAGGGGCCCAAAAAGATGCCCCACGAGCACCCCAAACGGCCCCCAAGAGGCGTCAAAACTGGAAGCCTCCCGCGAATTCCAAACGAACTTCCAAAAGGCCTCTAACCCACAACCCAGGCACGGAGGCGGGATGGGCCGAAGGCCATTATCGGGAACGTGAACCGAGAACCCGAGATCTTCGCCCCAGGAGACCCCCAGGAGGGGTCAAGAGGTCCCCGAGAAGCCTGGCGACAGATCACCGGTCGACCGGTCGATGAGAGCGGAGGAGGAGGAGGAGGAGGAGGAGGAGGAGGAGGAGGAGACTTGAGGAAGAGGCAGGAGAAAACAGAGAATGTTGACCTCATTATTCATGACCGCATTGTTATCTCAATGCGGTCAGCACTCGACCAGCTAGAGCCTAAGCGCGCGCGAAGCGCGCGCGATGGTTCAAGTATATATATATATATATATATGTATATTAGTTATATATATATATATATATATATATATATATAGATGTCGGACTAGGCCTCGGGTGGGCCTGGGACCGAGACCACAGGTAAACATGGGTGCCGCAGGGGCTCCAGGGGCGCCCTCGTGGTTCCCAAAGTGACTTCGTGGTCGCACAGAGGGCCCACACATTGGTCCGACAGTCTACCAGACTGGGCCTAGCACACCCCGAGACACCGAAGATGTTTTCTGAACGGCCTCCGAAGGCTTCCAGGCTGCGCCAGCTGCGCCGGGACAACTGTTCACCCCCAGCGAAGACGCGCAGCATGTTTTCAAAATGGCGTGGGCACCAACGTCAACGATGGCTTCGTAGGCGAGGGCCGTGTGCTCTTGGCCGTGGACGTCTCCATCCCTGACCTTGCATCCGTGGGCGCGGTCGAGGTGGGCCCTCTTGGGTTCGGCTTGCTCCGGCCGTTGTGGCGGTGAGCGGGGGCTGGCCCCCTTCGCCGCCTCGTAGTTGATCCGCGAGCCCGACCAGTCGGTGCGATTCCTGGCGTGTGGGTCGACGCAGAGGCGGGCCGCGTGCTCGTCGATCCTGACGAGGGCGTCGTTGAACTTCCGGCTCGTTCCCCGCTCTTTGGTCTTCGTGGCGAAGTACTCGGTGGTGGTCGTGATGCCCGTGTTCGGGCCTGCCAAGGCTGCGGCGGTTGGCTGCGGCACCGCCGGCGGCAGAAATTTGTCCACTTCCGCTTCGCCTGGCGGGCGCCGAGGGCATTTGAGGATGCTGGGGGTCCCGCCCAGCGCCCAGGTTCACAGGATGTGCGGGGCGGAGAGGGTCCGCGGGCTGTGCGCGGTCATTGCCAGGATCCCGGTGGCGATCAGGGCGACGCCGAGCCTCGCGACGAGCGGCCGGGCTGCGCCGCAGCAGTGAACCCCCGCGTATTCCGTGAATTAAAACAGCCAGTCGCCGTCCTTGCTGAGCCATCCTGCATCCTTTTGGGCAAAGGTTCTCAGCGGCCCCCGAGGCCCCACCTCTGGCCCCTTCGGCTCTCAAGCGCATTGTTCGGTTTGCCAGGGGCCCCCAACTCAAGATCCAGCTTCCCCGGCCCCCGGTCCAGGAGATGTCTGGGGACGCAGGTGGGGGCGGGACTGGTCTGCTTCCCTTCCCTCTCTGGGGTCCCGCGGCTCGGGCGGCTCGCCGAGCGGGGGTGCTGCTGCTGGCGGCGACCCGAGCTCACCAGGCCCCTCGTCCTCGAAGGCCGTGGGGACCTCTGCCGAGTCGTCGTGCGCAGGCGAGCAGCGCCCGACGTGCGCCCCGGCGCCGGCGGGGCTGCGCAGGCTCCCCAAGCGAAGCTCAGCTGGGGCCCGCCGAGCATGAGCCCGATCGCCAGCAGCCCGCCGCGCTGCGAGCTGTTGGGGCCGGCTGCCTCCCCGGCGCCCGCCTGCCCAGCGGGGAGGTGGGTGTGGCCAGCAGCGCTTCGCGGCGGGCCTGCGGAGCGGGCCTCTCCCAAGAGCTCCAGGAATCGTGTGGGCCTCAGGAGTGGGCCTCTGGAGTGCCCGGCCTCGGGCCAGTTGGGGCGGACTCCCAGCCTGACCCAGAAAGGCTTGAGCCCCAGTCGCTCAAGGCCCTGTCGCTTAAACCTCGATCGTCCAGCGGAGTCCGTCCAGTGGATTCTGTCCAGCGGAGTCCGTCCAGCGGAGCCTGAGACCTTGGA